TCGGATGGAAAATTAGCTTGAATTTTGGTACACTATTGTTTTTCTTTCATGCATATTATACAGAATGATAATCACATTTATCCTAGTCAGGTCTTCCGTTATGCCAGAGCGTTACGAGTTAAGACTACATAATATCAGCTATATTAACTAACACACAAGCTAACATTGGTTAGCTTGATGTACGAGTAGTTTTCTCTACAGGTGCAGGTGGTATTTTATTGGCACATTTAGCTTTCAGAATAAATAGTGTTGGTTTTAATCCCCAACGATTAGTATCGAAAATCCACAAAAAGGTGTCCAGTAGCCATCTTGTTTGAGGACCGCAAATAAATATCCCGCGACAAATTAGTTTCCGTTGGCTTCGACGGCTGCGGTGCGCAATTTATGGGCCCGACTGTACTCTCATTTACACTGTGTGTGTGTAAATCATTCGGATTTTAGTTGCCTGGATTAAGGGTGGTTGTGGTCCTGTCTTTGTATCGTAAATGGAACACAAAAATTATTAAATATAAAATAAATACACAGAAAAACTCAATAACTACTTTTCGACTGAATCAAGTTGGACCGAAGACCTCATAGAGGTATCAGGAAGGAAGGCGCTGGATGCAGGCCGCTACCAACCGGCTATTGTGGAAATCATTGGGGGAGGCCTATGTTCAACAGTGGACGTCCTACCTATGGCTGAAATGATGATGATGGCCGAATCAAGCACCGTTAAATGACACTGAAATCTATGACTTTTCAAAAAGTCCTATCATTAAAATAAGCTAAGTTTGATTTCAACTTTTACACCTCTTCATTTGATTTCACACATATTTTATCAAAGTAAGTTAGGTTCTTACTTTGATAATGTGTGAAATCAAATGATGTTTACATCTATCTATTGATTTGAGTAAATCTTTCTTTGATTGCAACTTCGATCTCTTGTTATGTTTTACAGTTCTTTGGATAAGTTTCTGTCCATATTTAAAATTTAAGAGATCGCCTCAAAAGAAGTCATAACCGTGGAAATCACTTCTTTGTTCATATCCAGCATTAGCACAATCTTGAATAATCCGCGAGTTGACCCTATATTTCACTTTCCACTTGCGATTCGCATTCCAGTCACTTAGCCTGTTATACAGCAAGTTGCTGAAAAACTCCGACTATTACCGTAAATATCAATTTGTATGAAACCCGAAGAACTGGCGGACCGAGCTCGGACTCGCAACAAATTGGAGTGGCTTCTACTAGGATTTAGGGCTCAGTCACAGCCAGAACTTTAAATTGGACTTCAACTATGAAGTTTGGACGGTAATGGGAAAAATTACAACCGATGACTGGGTAAGGATAGTTTTGTTTGAATTGGATTGCTTTTCTGTTATATTGAAGTTTATTTCCTTGAAAAAAAAAACTTATATTGCGAGGTCCAGTTATTATAAATTACTAGTAAACGCACGAAGCCGGGAAACATGACATCTGCCAACATAGTCGAAGCAGCATCCTTAACGATGCCCTAAAGGAATTAATAAGTATGAGCCTTAAAGAAATAATAAACAGAAGCTATTCAAAATACTCGTAAATCTTCGTTCAACGAACTTGAAAGATTATCCCCTGGCGGAGGGTAATCCATAATTTTATCAACAAGTTATTAACTCCGAAAGAAAGGGGCGTAAGTAGCTATTTTCTTGGTGGCCGCTTTGAGCGTCGACAGCACGTCAGACTGTACATTTTTGTTTCAAAATAGCCTGTATTACAAAGAGATAAGAAGCCTCTGTGTTAAGCTTGAAGTGCTGTTATAGACTGTACTAGCCTAATTTAACTTCGGCGATAAAGCGCTCATTTTGAGTTAACGAACTTATAGTAAGATTCACCTTGTCTTGAATGCAAGCGGGGTGATTATCCTGAAACAATATTATCGACTACAAATATAATTTTACAATGTTCCAGGTTAATTAATTTCAAAAATTGTTTATTTATCAGACACCGGTATGAAACAGGCAATAACTTGCTTTAGACAATGTAAGTGCCTAACATTATTATTTAAATTTTGGTGTAATCGTATTAGTATTGTAATCGTATTAGTTTTGGTGTAATAAGTAGTAATAGTAGTAGTCGATTTTAATACGTTAAACTACTTACTTTCACTTTAAACCATTGCACCTTTAGGTACTTATTGTGCTTTGTCACAACATGGCTGATACAAAGTACCTACAGTTTTGAACTCTAATTTAAGAAATCTGTTATTGATAAAAGTGTCAAAATAAATTTTCTAAAGACAATGTTTTTTACGTTAAAATATGAAAATTTATCCGCAAAAGATGTAAGCAAGCAACATAAAATGTTGGAGGTAATGGTTGGATGTTNTCGTATAATGTTTCAAAAATTATTGGTAATGATTTTAGAATATCTTTATTAGGCGTGGATACCAGGCCGAATGTAATGATTTAATTTTTATGAGACGTGTATGCCAGGAGGCATCACGGTGACGGATGGCCGAATGTAATGATTTTAGAATGTAAATTGTATTTTATAGGTACGATTGGATGCTTATAAATAGTTATTGTAACAACTTTAGTAGAATTTAGAAACCCATTATTAAATTAAAATACTTTGTTTGATTACTTCCTGGACATGTTACAGATATTAGAACGATTTTTTTTTAATTAATTCTGTATTGTATTCGATTATCTCAATTATTGTTTAATTTACAATAATTTTAGAATTTTTATTGTATACAGTTTGCTATTTTAGAAATAAAAATAAATTAAATTAATAATTAGGTAATGCAATTGACTACTTCCGGGGCATGCCGTCGATAATTCGTTTGACTTTGACGAATGGAAGGGGAAGCTACCTTTTTGCTGGCATGCCACCGGACAAGCAGTTCGATTTGAGCTTTCAAAGAAGATGTACTTATTAGTAAGAAGTAATGTTGAAATTATTATTGTGTAAATCAGTGGTGTAAAAATACATACTTGAACAAGTCTCCCATTGGTTTCCATTACACTATGTACTTTGTTGTTTATGCAAGACAAGGCAGGTGTTTGACCGCAATCGCACCTGATGTTAAGTGAGATGCAGTCTAGGAAATCAGTAGTGGAGACGGTTCAGACGGCGTATGTGACTGCACGAGACAGTCTGCCAAGACAGTCTGTCTGATAGAGAGAGATGATGGGAGATCGTGCGGAGAGTTGTATCCGCCTCTACAAACGATGTGAACAACGCCTCAATGTGACCACGACCGCTCTGCCAAAAGCGTAACGAATAAGAAGAAGAAGTCTAGGATGGTACATATCTGCCCTGTAAGTGCCTATTCACTCTCGCCTTGAAAATACCCGGATATGTGTATAATGTTCGGATTATACTTACTTAATCAACGTCGAAGCGTCAACTCTCTGTAGCTAGACTATTTGGAAAACCAGGGGTTACTTTGAAAAACGTGCGAAGTTTCGAATTTTCCATCTCTTCTTCTTCTTTTATTTTGGCCACAACTTGGTTTTGAGAACCACGATTTCGCCAATGTCACGTAATCAGCTTTGACAAAGTTTACAGGGTTTATAAAATTCAAAAATGTTTAAGTTTAAAATGTTAAGCTAAATTATTTGTGTGAGTACCTTAAACAAAAAAGACATCACAAATTGAGACAACACAAATATATACATAATACCGATTAAAATAAATGGAAGAAAGAGGGTAGGAAGGAGGAAAGTTGGGAGGGGAAAAATAATTTTCCATCTCTCTCAAGCAAAGCGAGATGCCAGCATGAGCGACGTTGACAGATAGTTGATTGGTGGTAATTTATAGGTTATCCCTTTATAGGGCAGAAGCGAAATCAAAAATCTGTGCGGTGGTTGCCAGTTTCGTGTACACATTGCTGGTCTGATTCTGCGTTGTAATTAAGGTTTATAATAACGTTTAACAAGATTATAATAACTAAGTTCTTAGGCTGGGTTGCACCATCTAACTCTCACTTTGACAAACGTCAAATATCTGTGAAAAAGCAATAAACGATTAAGTATTGAACCGGAAAAGTGGCCACCTAGTTTTCCAGATTTATATCATCATCATAATTTGTTATTTTAGTCTCCACTGCAGGAGCACAACTCTCTCATAGTTAAATTTAATGTATGAGAGAGTTATTTGGGTGAATATCAACAAACTCGTTTTTTGCCTAATTCCGGTGGCGAATTTTAATTTCCACTTTCCAAAACTTTTTTGTGGCAGAAATAATAGTAAATAACTTGTATTATTCAATGATATGGTAGATATCAAAATATTATTAATACTTCTCGAGATATGTTAATTTGAAATTATCAAGAGCCACCGAAATTGTATTTGAACCACCGGAATTAAGAATCAATCCACCGTATTTATACAGCGGAATTCGGAATGTTATGGATGATTGTCTCAAATTACTTATTTATTTGTAATCAATTAAGTATCATTATCCAGTAAAGATGTTTATAATTAAAAACAATATTCAGGCCTGTGTTGTGACCCTGAAAGCATCAGATCTTCCCATGTGAGTCGTAAGAGCCGACTAAGCAATCAAAATACTGGAGGGTGGGCTGCAGCATCTTTCCAGGTATTATACTACCATACTGGAACTACCAACCAGCCTGCTAAGCATGGTGATAACGGCAAAATCCCTCCATAGAGAACAAATCCAAAACTTTCTGGCTCTAGCCGCCAACAGCCCCGTTATTCTAGACTCATCACAAAGACATCACCAGACATTACATGACCCTCAAACCCAGAAACCAACTCTAGTCCCGGGAGGGCGACCAACTGCCCCAGGTTGGTGTTAGTTCCATAAGTAAAAATATTGGTCCAGGCTAGCCAAGTTTTCATGATGGTATCATACCTATCCTACACTCAGAATTACGCAACTAATTATTCGCTAAAGACCATGCGAACTGGAGATTAAGTATGAAGATATTTCTAGATCTATACCAGCTATTGAACTAACATATTACATATTTGTGATAGGGTAATTTAACAGGGGGGTAAGGGGGAGAATGGCCATAACATCTAGTCAGCCCCAAGTCAACCTCACCTGCACGACCTGGAACTCATAAGCGAACCCAGGTACGACTGCTCTCCAGCGGTCGTGGTGCCCCCTGCTAGATAACGGACGAGGCAATGGCGACCGAGCTGTGGCGGGATAACCACTCACCTACTCGAGCAACCGAGAAGAGGAGGCTCCAGCGGCCTTGAGATCTAAATAATCTCAAAAATGCCTGACGCAGAAGGCAAGGGGAAACCACTGCGATCACATTCCCAAGAGAGTCACATGAGAGCACAGAAAAATGAGACACGATCGCCCTGCGAACCGATTAGCGACCGGTGCTGCGCTGCGTCCGGGGCGCGTGGTGTGCAGTTGGCTACCGGCCATGGTGGGGTGAGAGACCAGGCCCTCCATGGAAACTCTACTACTGGAAACTCTATTAAACTAAGACGCCTTCAGACGATAGGAACTTGGAATCAATAATAAATTTTGTTAATTCTGATCATTGCGGTCAAATAGTGTCATTTCAACACCATTTTGTGCCATCGAGCAAGGAAATAGAATATAGACCAGTCACTGCATCCCAGAAAGACAAATTTAAATCTCAAATNAGGAACTTGGAATGTGCGTGGCTTAAACCAACCTGGAAAACTTAACGTGCTGGAAAGAGAAGTAGTTAGAGTCGGTGTTAACATCTGTGGTCTAAGCGAAACTCACTGGAAAGGCAGCGGACATTTATTGACAGACCGCCACGTCATTTACTATTCTGGCAACGACATTAGTAGCAGCAACGGTGTGGCCTTCTTAATACCCGCTCAACAGAAGAACTGCGTGATGGGGTACGAGCCGGTAAGCGATCGGATTATCAGCATAAAGATAAAAGCTTCACCAATTAACCTTAACATCATCCAGGTATATGCCCCAACCTCTACTGCAAGCGACGAGAAGATCGAAAAATTTTACTGCGAATTAGGAAATACAATAGCGAAGATACCCAATAGGGAGCTGTTGGTCATCCTTGGAGATTTAAACGCTAAGATCGGAGAGAGCGCTTATCAACTGGGCAAATGCGCGGGCAGATTTGGGCTCGGAAAGCGAAATGAACGAGGTGAACGCTTGATACAGTTTGCTTCAGAAAACGATCTGCTGATTGTGAATAGCCTTTTTCAACACCACCCTCGAAGGCTGTACACCTGGGTATCACCTGATGGAAAAACTCGCAACCAAATTGATTACATTATGATCCGGTCGCGATGGAGATCATCTGTAACAAATTCTCGTACGCTACCTGGGGCGGATTGTGGGTCTGTCCACCAACTTCTGATCTCCAAACTAAAGCTCAAGCTGACTGCAGCAAGAACCATTAAAAAGCCGAGAAAGCTGGAGGTAAGGGACATCCTCAAATTCCGTTCGACTATGGATCAAAAGTGGCCCCAGTGGTCTGAAGCCGATCTAGCTAACGAAACCCCCGATATGCTGTGGGACCGTGCTAAAGCACTCATCACTACAACTGTATCGGAAGCCGCACCAAAAATTAAGACCTCCAAAAGACAGCACTGGATGACGGATGACACCTTCAAACTCGTCGAGAAACGCCGCAAAATGAAATCAATGGGAGTTGATAATAATATCGGGAATCTCAACAAAATGACCGCACAGATACAACTTAAATGCAGGCAAGACCATAATGCCTACCTACACAATATTTGCAATGAAATTGAAACGCACGCTGGCAGGTATGAGTCAAGAGACTTGTATCAGAAGATCCGCCTCATTCTCAGCACGATCTTCTCAGCACTTGCCATATGTTTGTCTCGAAGCGCTGGTAGGGCCCAAAAGATAAGGAGACGTAAAGTGCCCCATAAGGGCTACCTTTTCTTTTTTTATTATTTTCTATTGACGTTCATAAGTGCCACTTGTGGTCTAAACTGAATAAATATTTTTGATTTTGATTTTGATTTTGATTACAAAAACACTACCGTCTAAAACCTGGGCTATCGAGGATCATAGCGGCCAAGTATTCACTGAACTAGACAAAATTTCGAGAGTCTGGAGAGATTATTGTCAGTCCCTGTTTCAGGACCCGTAGTCGCGAGATTTTGCAGCTACGACACCCGCGAGTGACATGCTTGAGCTTNACCTTTTATGATATTAAATTAAATAAAAATCAGTAAATAAATTGGGACAAGTTCAAATCAGCTGTTAGCGGTAGTGTTGCTACAGGAAAAAAAAAATTGTTTTGTATAATAATATTGCAATATAACTATTTCAGAAAAACGACACCAATAAAATGGCTACATTATTTATAAATAGTGGTTGTTATTTTTGTCTATTAATACGTTATTTAAATAATTATCTCTTATAAATTTAATTTTTAAAAAGTATAAAAAATTAAAACACCCTAAAAGGTACCAAAATGACGCTTTTTTGCCATTTTATTCGCCGGGGACGGCGATTTTTGCGTTGATAATTTTAGAATTAGATTGTCATAACTAGTTTGTTATAAAATATCTATTTACTGACCTAAGTACCTACAATTTTTTCTTCTGCATACATTCATACCTACTTAGTACAGTTTCTCTTACTGTGTTTTGTTTGTAGTAGTTTACGAGATTTTACTTTAGAATAAGAAAACTTAATGTGAGCTTAAATATTGTATGTATACAACTGTCTGTCTACTTAGATAATATTTTTATAAGTGCAATTTAACATAACAAAGTGCAATTTAACATAAAAATATTCGCCTGTTTCAACAATTATCTCATTTTTACTGATTGTAATGTTATTAAAATAAAAAAAAATTTTTCAAGATCAGCGTTTTGTCTAAATAATGACTTATATTTATATATTTTTTTACATCATCTTCAACGTGACAACTGAACTTACCATCTTCAAAATATTATTTTTTTACTAGAACAACGTGATAAGTTGTCTCTTTTTTTTTCAATCGCTATAATTTCATCAATTTAGACGCAAATTTATGTCTTACTATAAATATTTAAATTCATTAATAGTTAATCTTTAAACGTTTCATACACAATTAGGCAATCCTAACCTTCTTTTAAGAGTTATGGTCATTCAAAAGTTAAAAAGTCGTTTTCTGGAAAACCACTGTTTTTGATATATCACAGTGTCATGTCGTCGCAAATGGACGTGTAAGTATTCAACGATGTGTTTTTTAAATATGTGAATGGATTGTTTATAGCGCGTCTTTCCATTCTATACATAGCCAGAACGCAAGAGTGTGAAACTAATCGAGTATAGTTTGGATATGACTTTTTTTACTAAGCTCCTCCAAACTATACACGACCAGTACGCATACGCTGCGTACTGCTCGCGTATACTTTGTAGTGACTTAGGTCAATTATCTTCCTCCAAAATATACATCGTCAGTACGCATACGGACTAATCATGTATGTATTGTAATAAGTTCGCGATTACAATGTATACGCGAGTAGTTGCATGCTCGTCATTTTGACTTATTTATCTCTCTTTCTCATCAACAGCCCTTTACAGTCCACTGCTGGACTATGAGCCTCCTCCACTATAGTGGAGGGTTTTGCCATAATCTCCACGCTTGGCAGGCGGGTTGGAGATCGCAGTTTAAAAGATTGATGTTTTTCAGAGAGCGCTGCTGCCCATTCTCTGTTTGATGTGTAGTCCCTAAGTCGCCTCTTACGACACCCGCGGGAAGACTCTCTTTCTATTACATATTAATTCATAACTGAGTTTTTTGGTGTTTGTATTCTGCCATAGAAAATANTCCCTCAATGACATCCCTCCCTCAATGACATCCCTCCCTCAATGATATCCCTCCCTCAATGACACCCCTCCCTCAATGACACCCCTCCCTCAATGACATCCCTCCCTCAATGACACCCCTCCCGTACCGCTCCCATACCTTAGGCATTGACTAGCGCTAGACCTATAACAAGATACAGCTGCAAAACTCTTCAGTGTCATAATTATGACATTGACAAGAGGGCATTACTATCATACTGGGTATCTGTTCCGCTTTTGGCCACGTTCGACAACACTGAAGTGTCCCAAATAGTTATGACATTCACAGAAGGGCGCTACTATCAGTACTAGCACAGAATAATAATAAGTACTACGTACAGAAGTTATACTTCGCGAAGGTATTTAAAAAAATGTTTGCTCAATGTCATTAACAATATGGTGTAATTTAGCCTGTCTCAAGAGTCAAGCACCATTTTGTTGACAAACGTCAGTGATCGGCACTGCGCCGAAGCTATAGGGCTGACTTCGGTAAAATGATGTGACGTGAGGTGCCAAACTGCGGAAAATGGCAGAGGAAATACATGATTTAGCATGAATTATCATGAATAATATTACTTAATAATACAACTACTTATTTACCTCTCAGTGTCTGGAGGCAACTTAAAAAAGTACATTCTGTGTTTTTATTATTATTTAGGCAGTTAAATACTGCACAGTATTTAGTATACCATTTTCTTATTTTCTTCCATCATACACAAGAATACGCGTGCGTGAGTCAATGTTCGCTCGTATGTGAGGCCTTGTCGAATAGTATCCTGTAGGTGGGCCATCGTGCGTGTTTTGTTTTCGATGTAAACTCGCGGAGATGAACAGGCCTGGTACTAGTTGCGATATTTGCTACTTGACGTTTCAGTTCAGTTTCTTCAACGATCGCTTCCACACTCTTCCAGACGAGCTTCTATTCAGTCCTGAGGAGCTGCCGCCGGAGCCTCTAGACGCGTGGGCGGCGCCGACCGCGGCCTCGCCGGCGCCGCCGCTGGCGCTGGTGCCGCAGCTGTTGAGCGCTTGCTTCGAGGGCGCGCCTTTCCCGGGAGACGTGGATACTGCGCTCACGCACCTTATTGCGGTGAGTTGATGGTTCAGGAGGCTTCTCTAGAGGTCCTAGTCTACTACGACACTATTCAGTCCATCTTATTGCGGTGAGTTGATGGTTCAGGAGGCTTCTCTAGAGGTCCTAGTCTACTACGACACTATTCAGTCCATCTTATTGCGGTGAGTTGATGGTTCAGGAGGCTTCTCTAGAGGTCCTAGTCTACTACGACACTATTCAGTCCATCTTATTGCGGTGAGTTGATGGTTCAGGAGGCCTCTGGAGATTCTACTCTATTAGAACACTATTCGGTCCCAAAGAGCTTACACCGGAGCCGCTGCCGCTGGTGCCGCAGCTGTTGAGCGCTTGCTTCGAGGGCGCGCCTTTCCCTGGAGACGTCGACACTGCGCTCACGCATCTTATAGCGGTGAGTTGATGGTTCAGGAGGTCTCTCTAGAGGTCCTACTTTACTATAGTCTGGTCCGTGAGCACGTAGAATTTTGTCCAATGACCCCAAGCTACCCTTCCTTATCGCTCGCGCGTAATTATATTGTTGTCGCGACTGTGCGACGCGCGCCCGCAGTGAGTGTGCGAGCTTTAGAACACTATTCAGTCTCAAGGAGCTTCCCTATGAGTCGCTAGACCTCGCTGGCGCTGGTGCCGCAGCTGTTGAGCGCTTGCTTCGAGGGCGCGCCTTTGCGTCATTGCGGTAAGTTGATACAAGAGGCCTCTCTAGAGGCCCTACTCTACTAAAGTACAGCCAACGAGAAGCGATACCAAATGTAAACAAACCCAATGTCATGGTCATTTGGAATAGCAGGGGTTTGACTTTGACATATTTTGGCGGGAGAAAGAGACATTACGACAAATACACAAGATGGGAAGAGACAGAATAGATTGTCAGTTGGACAGTCGAATCGACCTTTTTGTATCGCTGCTAGTTAGCCGTACTTTACGCCCCCGCCGGCGCCGCCGCTGGCGCTGGTGCCGCAGCTGCTGGCCGCTTGCTTCGAGGGCGCGCCTTTCCCGGGAGACGTGGATACTGCGCTCACGCACCTTATAGCGGTGAGTTGATCGTGCGAGAGGCCTCTACTACGCATGCATGACGTCTAGTGTCGTCATTAGATGTTGTATTATTATTTTAACGTTTGTTCTGAAAGGATTCTTAATATTTACCTTTTTTTCTGATGGGTAAAAAAATAAATATTATGTCACTTATTTAACCGTTGCCCGAAAGAATGGGACGTACTTAAAATTTGTAAAACCTGATGCAGTTTCATTCAGAAATTTCAGCCGAACCATTGACCGATTTCCGACCGCGACCGTGTTTCAGTTGTATTTTTCGTATTCGATTTCTTAGAGACACTTCCATAGTTTTCAACGATTAGCTAAATAATAATAATAATAAGTTTTACGTCTTCCGCAGGCACTGTCATCAGAAACCAAGCGCTACAGCGCTTCAAGCGGCGGCGGCGTGTACCCTTACCTAGAGCGTGTGTGCGCATACTTGAAGCACGCCAGCGAAAGCGGCGTAGCGGCCGCAGCGCTGCCTACACACGCCGCCCGAGCCGCCGCGTTACTGCGTGCATTGCAGCCTGCTAACAACCCGCGTGTTGCTGAGGTAAATAATAATAACATATTCAATTCAAATTCAAATACTTTTTTCAGTACATATGTCCTTTCCAGGGCACTTATACACGTCCCAAATATACATAGCTTGCCCTACCACCACTTCGGGACAACATATGGACTGGTGCTGTAAAGAAGTGGCCGAATAAACTTAGTCACCTTTGTCAGCCTCTTTTTCAATAAAATACAATATTAATTTATAGTTTACATGACACGCAATAAGTGCGAGCTAGGCAGGTAAAATCCACACACTCTTGTGATTTAATAACTATTCTATTCTATAATAAGTATTCTATTGTAGAATCCTGCTCAGCTGGCCAGTGTTAGGGAAGCTTCGCGATATTTACGTCAGGAATACCGCAGTCTTAAAACAAAAGTCTGACTAGTTTGTGTTGCCAGTCGTGTTCGCTTACTGTGGACCTTATAAAAAGGTTCAAAAATCACCCAAAAGGCGATGGAGCGTGTTATACTCGGAGTAAACCTGCGTGATCGAATCAGAAATGAGGGGATTCACAGAAATATCAAGCGGCAATCAAGTGACAGTGAGTAGCTGAGCACATAGCTCGTAAAGCTGATGGCAGCTAGGACGAAAAAATCCTCAAGTGTCGACCACTGACCGCAAGACGTAGTGTCATCGATGAACAGCATACATATTTTTAAAGACCAAATATTTATTTTACATGGAAAATACCTATATTGGTCGAATTCAAAAATTCAACAAAAAATATTCCAAGAGCCTGTGGATAAAAATAACCAACATTTTTCCATAAATAGTAAACACTGTACTTAATTCACAGATAGCAGAAGCCCTACTACAGCAGTATACATACGTTGGTGGGCCTTTGGTGGGCGCCCTGAAGGCTCTAGTGCAGCCCACGCGTGGAAAGCGCGAGCCCGAGCGCCTGCCCGCTCTGCCACCCGCGCCGACCAGAGACCACCTGGTGGCCAGTGAGTATACCACCTGGGGAACCCGAAAGGTGTCATGCTCTGGGGCGGGCGGGACCACCTTAACGTAGGCACAAGTCTCCCCTAAATGTTCCGAAGGGAAATTTTAAAATTGCTGTAAATCGATTTATACTAAATCAAATACAAAATTGAGTATAGCAGATTTGTATACATTTAATATACATTTTTATAGTCTCATAAACGAATTTAGAAACTTTCAGTAACAGAATCTTCTAGGTGGGCCCGCTAGGGAGTATGCTCTCCGGCGGGCCCACTTTGAATTCATGTTTACAACAAAACTATAGACAAGTTAAGGCTACAATTTTATACATATTTTATACAATTATTTCGTACCTGTTATATGTACCTACGTTAAGGTGGTCCCGCCCCAGAGCATGTCACCCCAAAAGAGTGCATGGGAAGCCTGCCTACATTCAAGTGCCACAAAGATCCTTTTTTCTGTCCCAACGGCTATCCGTTCTATAGTCTGGTCTGCGAGCAGCAGCCCGCAGAAAGAAGAATCTTTGTGCGCTCGCATACTCACTGCGGGCGCCCGTCGCACAGTCGCGACAGCAATATAATTACGCACCACCGATAAGGATGGGTAGCTTGGGGTCATTGGACGGGATTCTACGTGCTCACAGACCAGACTATAGTCAAATGAGATCCTGTCACATAGCAGTAGCGGTTGCGCTTGCTAACAAACATCGTTTGAAAATCGACCAAATAAATAAATCACGTTTCTATCCTCAGTACTGGAGAGCGCGACAGCAAGCACGCTGGAAGCGATCGGCAACAAGATCATAGAGACGCAGAGCACCGAGATGGTCGTCGACGTCATCTCGCATCTGCTGGAGAAGAACCAAGATGGCTGCTACGAGACCAAGGTACAGATTCGTAGGATCGTAACTGACAATTAGGAAGTTTACTTAGCCTAAAGAATAAAGTATTTTTTTATCCAAGACGAGGAAGCTCTTGGCCTGTATCTCACCTGATGGTAAGTGACGATCAGTCCGAAGGTGGAAGCGAGCTTCACCCGGAATCCTCATACACGGAGGAACTGGCTATCTTACCTCTAGTATAGTAATACCTTTACCTCTTAGTAATACCTCACCTACATTACTTCAGAAGTTGGCCGAAGTTAATCGAAATAAGATAGTGTAAACACACTTCACTTCGAGCAACCTCGCCTCGCCTCCCCGACTTCCGATTATTATCGTTATTGCGCCCGAATCAAAGAACTTGAAGCGTTCCGAAGCTTGAACGCGAAATCTCTGGATAAACTACTCGACTGACTTCGGTATTTTATTGAAGCGTGATGTGTAGCTGAGGTTATAACAATGTACCTATGTGTATAAGATTTTAAATTTTCGCGTTCCATTTTAATGTATGTGTTCGTTCGTTCGTTCGTTTCAGCCGAAAGACGTCCACTGCTGGACAAAGGCCTCCCCCAAGGATTTCCACAAAGACCGGTCCTGCACCTGTCCTGTCAATGTATGTGTATTTGTCCAGATCAAAAGCGAGGGACGCTTGGTGGAGGCGCCGCTGTTCGCGCGAGGCAGTCTAGGCTGCGGCCTGCTGCTGGACTGGCTGTCTGAGCTTCAACAAGAGACGCTGGGCCCCCAACCCGAGAGACAGGTTTGATAAACTACTATGGCTCTTCTCAGTCGTTACGTTCTAGACAGAGTGGGCGTGGTCGTCGTGATTGTGGGCGGATGTTGCTCGCATTACAATACATATCTCGCACGCTATTCTTGTTGGTGTTCAACCTAATTCATTGGTGCATCTAAGATTTGTTATGACTACTTTTGTTAATAGAGCTGAAAATAATAGCTTTAGAGTTTAGACTATACGTAAAATACGATTCAGAGTAGTAATTGTAATTTGTTTGTTAGTTTACACTCTAGATCTGATTTCCATCACCCGATTTCGCTACAAATAGTTCTACGACTACTATTACTGTTAATTTGTCCACGTGATCGAAGATCAGGATGATACCTCCCCTTTTACTTATTTTAAACAACAACATGTTCTCTAGGTTGTCTAAAAGAGACTACTCCAAAATTGTGCTGTTTCTTTTGAATATTTCTTTCTTTTTTTGTCTTGTTTATTGTGCAAAATTTTAATGTTCATTTTAATTTAATTTACGATTGACAAATAATTTTCTATTTTGTTTTAAGAATTGTTTAAAGATGAATGTAATGATTGTTATTTTTAAGTTTTTGCAACACCGTGAAATGTACAAAATTATGTTCTAAAGCCTGGTCCGTGAGCACGTAGTGCACGTAGCACGACTGTGCGACGGGCGCCCGCAGTGAGTGTGCGAGCGCGACAGCAACATAATTACGCGCGAGCGATAGGGATGGGTAGCTTGGGGTCATTGGACGGGATTCTACGTGCTCACGGACCAGGTTTTACCAACCCTTACCCATGTGGCATGCAATAAAATTTGAATTTAAAGTGTGTTCTACGTATGTTGGGCAGATGCGGCTGATGTTCAGTGCGGGCTGCGCGCGCTGGCGGCCGCAGCTGGTGACGCAGCTGGCGCACCGCGCGTCGTGGCGCACGCTGCACACCTGTCTACGAGCGCTGTTGAACCCTGACCGGTTTGTGATGCTTTGATTTTGACAGTATTTTTTACGGTTCAACGCCAACGGGTGTATTGCGAATAATCCCACCCAATAAATATTTTGAAGGCGAATAGTGAAGTCAAAAATTTCTTGTGTCATAACATTCTTTAGTTGATTGATTTTCAAACCTCAAATGGCAAAGATTGGAAATAGTAACCCGGCATTGATGGCAGCGCCCTCCTGCAAATGACATTTCAGTGTTTTCCAATGTGGCAAAAATTGAAGCGAGCGATCCGGTATTGATAATGGCGCCCCCCTGTCAATGTCACGGGTGGAACGGTTCAGTGTAGGACATCTATATTACGTATTTTTTATTTACTGGTGGTGGTGTACGATTCTTTACTCATTTGATTCCAGCAGAGTAGAATGTTATATCATACATCTAGTAATGATTAAAGCACGGTCCGTGAGCACGTAGAATTTTGTCCAATGACCCCTAGCTACCCATCCTTATCGCTCGCGCGTAATTATATTGCTGTCGCGACTGTGCGACTGGCACCCGCAGTGAGTGTGCGAGCGCGATAGCACCATTACGCGCGAGCGATAAGGATGGGTAGCTAGGGGTCATTAGACAAAATTCTACGTGCTCACGGCCCAGACTAGATAGCGTGGGAAGTGTAGGCATAGTTCTCTAGCATGCCCTTACAGTTGAGATTAGATGATCTGATGATGATTTTGATATTTGAATCTTCTTTGAAGGGAGAAATAAACATAAATATTTTTATTGGTCACAGGAAGTGGGCTGCTAGCTCGGTGGTGGAGTTCTGCGCGACGCTGGTGGACTCGCCGCGCGTGTGGCAGGGCCGCGACCGCAGCCCTTCTAAGCACGCGCCCGACGACGACACGCTGCGTCTCACGCACAAGCAGGTGACACATTTGCGCAAATTTTAAATCACATAATACCTATTTTACTCTGAGGTCAAAATCAAAATGTATTTGAGCAGCGCGGTACTACAGAATACTATAATCACTTACTATGCAAATGATTCTCGTTGCAGCTCTGCCCTGATACATAGATGAGCATTGACCATGCAGGACACAGTCGCGATGTTGATACAGTTTTTATTCTGGACAGTTTACATCTGTTACTTGGAAGTATCCTCGCATTTATATGAAACTAGCTTTCTGTCCGCGGCTTCGCCCGTTTGAAAGTTTATCTGTTACAGAGAAAGGTTATCGCGCGCGTCCCTATTAAAGAACTGGGATAAAAACTATCCTATATCATTTCCCGGGACTCAAACCATATCTATGCCAAATTTCATCAAAACCGGTTAAGTGGCTTAGGAGTGAAAGCGACACAGACAAACAGTTACTTTCGCATTTATAATATTAAGAAAGGATAGTGTAGCAGTGTGTGCGACTTTATTGTTTTAGCTGGAAGTCCTGATTGGCTACATAGTAGAAGAGGCGGAGGCGGCGTCGGTGGCAGCAGGCGGAGGCGCAGCGGGCGCGGAGGCTCTCCGCAGGCGTATGGAGGCGCGCCTGACGCTGGTGCTGCGCTGCTGTCCGTCCGAGCCCGCGCTGCTGGCTGCCGCGCTGCCTGCGAGGGTGCACCCTGTGCTGCTGCTGCTGCTGTATACCAAGGTATAGCTTTGTATCTTCTAGACAGATGAAACATCTCGTTTCATGAATCATGGAGGCGCGCCTGACGCTGGTGCTGCGCTGCTGTCCTTCCGAGCCCGCGCTGCTGGCCGCTGCGCTGCCTGCGAGGGTGCATCCTGTGCTGCTGCTGCTGCTGCTCTATACCAAGGTATAGCTTTGTATCTTCTAGCTAGGAGTCTATCAACTGACAGATCTCTCGAAAACGAAAGTCGTATAGTTCCAAAATACTGAACTGTCCTATGTATGACATTGACAGTGGGGCGCCACCGTCAATACCGGATCGCTGGTTCCGATTTTTGCCATGTTGGAAACCATATAGTTAAACGATGGTAGCGCCCCCCTGTCATTGAGTTTGGTAGGACAGTTCAGCGTGAGTCATCTATAAAACATTCTTTGACAAGATGGCGACACCTAATGGCGGACGACGCAGAGCTCAGGGACTATTTGACGTTGATCCATTAATCTGAGAAGAGGTCCTGGAAACTGTCACGCATGCTATCTTTTCATTGTAAACGTCATAATAAAAGTTGAATATTAGACTTCATAATATTATTAATAGTACGTAGAACTGACAGCCGGTGGGCAGTAAAAGGTTCTGGACACTTCTGGAGTGGAGGGCACGTACCGGAAAACACCGAGTCATAAAAGTAGCAGCAAGGCGCTGGATACACATAGCCGCTACAAATCGGGAGATATGTGAGTCATTGGGGGAGGCTTATGTTCAGCAGTGGACGTCCTGTATGTAAGGGAAAGTCTCGAAGAAAGAAATTTGGTTTGATTAAACCACACCTTTTATTTTCACAAAATCATACAATGTCACACAGTGTTTCATAGTATTTCAGTTATAACCGTATTAATCGACCAGTGATCGAATGCCCGAGCAGCCAGAGACCGTTGAGTCTAAACAGTGTTATTGGGAGAGGAGAAAGTGATAACAGTAGTGAAATGACGATAGCGGAAACGTTATCGTTATTATAAATATTCCATAACACTATTTTGTTATAGTTGCCAGTAAAGTAAATTAATAATGGTATTTGTAATACTAATGGTATTTGACAACGTTATTTTGTAACAACGGTATTTTTGTAACATGTGGCTGATGATGGTGATGATTAAACTTGACTGTCGCCAGGTGCCAGCGATCCAGCAGCTGCTCTGGTCGAGCGAGGCCCGCCGGCCGGCGTGGTGCGGCGTGGGCTCCACACTGGGCGACGCGCCGGGCGTGCGCGCGGCGGCGGCGGCGTGCACCAGCGCGACGGACCGCGTGGCGCACACGCTGCTCACCGCGCTGGCGCACCAGCCGCACCACGGGAAGGAGCACGCACACAAGTGAGCTCCACTGTCGGACCTATTTATTTCGTCGTCGTCGTCGTTTCAGCCGAAAGACGTCCACTGCTTGACAAAGGCCTCCCCCAAGGATTTCCACAAAGACCGGTCCTGCGCCGCTTGCATCCAGGTACTTCCCGCGACCTTCACCAGATCGTCGGTCCACCTACTGGGAGGCCTGCCCACGCTACGTCTTCCAGCTCAAGAACTTTCCTGCCCCAGCGGCCATCAGCTCTTCGAGCTATGTGCCCCGCCCACTGCCACTTCATTTTAGCGATTCTGCGGGCTATGTCAGTCACTCTGGTTCTCCTACGGATCTCCTCATTTCTGATTCGATCACGCAGGGAAACTCCGAGCATAGCACGCTCCATCGCTCTTTGGGTGACCTTGAGCCTTCTTATGAGGCCCATAGTAAGCGACCACGTCTATTTATTTATTTATTTGTAATAGGTATACAAACAGTTTACAATTAATAGAATTATGCCCGTTTTCACCATCAATCCCCAATTTTTAAGTGACCCCTATGGTAACACATAATATGAATTTTGTTTTCATAGGGGTCACTTAAAAATTAGGGATTGATAGTGAAAACGGGCATTAAACTCCCGGAGTGATTCAGCGCACAACACCTTTACTAACACTAAAGCCTGGTCCGTCAGCACGTAGAATCCCGTCCAATGACCCCAAGCTACCCATCCCTATCGCTCGCGCGTAATTATGTTGGTGTCGCGACTGTGCGACGCGCGCCCGCAGTGAGTGTGCGAGCGCGACGGACCGCGTGGCGCACACGCTGCTCACCGCGCTGGCGCACCAGCCGCACCACGGGAAGGAGCACGCGCACAAGTCAGTCGAAACTTATGTAAAGCCTGGTCCGTGAGCGCGTAGAATCACAGAATAAGTAATAGTACAGGTACAGAAGGATTACTCCGCAAGACGATTTAATAAATGCGAGTCTTGCTGCGACGCGATACAGTGGAATTCAGCTCGCATAGCACTACGTACCTACAATTTTATTCACCTACAAGTTTTGTCTCTTTCTATCGCGTGCCTCTGAACCCTTCTTACGCTGTTAGGGTTGCTGTCTAGTAAAAAAATAGTTAATCTACTTATATATCATGAGGTACGTATGTATGCAAGTACGCATCCATTATGGAAAACCTTGGGAGAGACCTTTGTCCAGCAGTAGACGTCATTTGGCTGAAACGAACGAACGCATTCTGAGCAGTAGTCATGGTAGGTTAGGTTCCTATACTATCCTAAGAATTATTGATTACCTACATGGCCAACACACCTTTCAGCATCTTTGAGAAGCGAAGATAAATCCGGTAGATTTCTTTTCGAATTTAAACACCCGAACGCCGCACAATATTTCTTTCTCTTTATGTCAATTTTTAAATATGTAATACTTCGATCATAGAATTAGGTACTACAACGCACGCCAGCGTCCTGACGGGCGCGCGCGTGACACTCGACTGATATAATACCCGCCGGCGGGGCGCTTCGCTGTAGGTAATTATCGGATGTACCGCGCGGAGTGAGCCAGGCCTGGTAGAATCCCGTCCAATGACCCCAAGCTACCCATCCCTATCGCTCGCGCGTAATTGTGTTGCTGTCGCGCGCGGCGGCGGCGGCGTGCACCAGCGCGACGGACCGCGTGGCGCACACGCTGCTCACCGCGCTGGCGCACCAGCCGCACCACGGGAAGGAGCACGCGCACAAGTGAGCTCCACTGTCGGACCTATTTATTTCGTCGTTGTCGTCGTTTCAGCCGAAAGACGTCCACTGCTTGACAAAGGCCTCCCCCAAGGATTTCCACAAAGACCGGTCCTGCGCCGCTTGCATCCAGGTACTTCCCGCGACCTTCACCAGATCGTCGGTCCACCTAGTGGGAGGCCTGCCCACGCTACGTCTTCCAGCTCAAGAACTTTCCTGCCCCAGCGGCCATCAGCTCTTCGAGCTATGTGCCCCGCCCACTGCCACTTCATTTTAGCGATTCTGCGGGCTATGTCAGTCACTCTGGTTCTCCTACGGATCTCCTCATTTCTGATTCGATCACACAGGGAAACTCCGAGCATAGCACGCTCCATCGCTCTTTGGGTGACCTTGAGCCTTCTTATGAGGCCCATAGTAAGCGACCACGTCTATTTATTTATTTATTTGTAATAGGTATACAAACAGTTTACAATTGATAGAATTATGCTCGTTTTCACCATCAATCCCTAATTTTTAAGTGACCCCAATATAAACAAAAATCCTGTTAAGTGTTACCATAGGGGTCACTTAAAAATTAGGCATTGATAGTGAAAACGGGCATTAAACTCCCGGAGTGATTCAGCGCACAACACCTTTACTAACACTAAAGCCTGGTCCGTGAGCACGTAGAATCCCGTCCAATGACCCCAAGCTACCCATCCCTATCGCTCGCGCGTAATTACTGTTGCTGACGCGCCCGGCGGCGTGCACCACGGGAAGGAGCACGCGCACAAGTCAGTCGAAACTTATGTAAAGCCTGGTCCGTGAGCACGTAGAATAACAGAATAAGTAATAGTACAGGTACAGAAGGATTACTCCACAAGACGATTTAAATAAATGCGAGTCTTGCTGCGACGCGATACAGTGGAATTCAGCTCGCATAGCACTACGTACCTACAATTTTATTCGCCTACAAGTTTTGTCTCTTTCTATCGCTTGCCTCTGAACCCTTCTTACGCTGTTAGGGTTGCTGTCTAGTGAAAAAATAATTAATCTACTTATATGTCATGAGGTACGTATGTATGCAAGTACGCATCCATTATGGAAAACCTTGGGAGAGGCCTTTGTCCAGCAGTAGACGTCATTTGGCTGAAACGAACGAACGCATTCTGAGCAGTAGTCATGGTAGGTTAGGTTCCTATACTATCCTAAGAATTATTGATTACCTACATGGCCAACACACCTTTCAGCATCTTTGGGAAGCGAAGATAAATCCGGTAGATTTCTTTTCGAATTTAAACACCCGAACGCCGCACAATATTTCTTTCTCTTTATGTCAATTTTTAAATAATACTTCGATCATAGAATTAGGTACATACTACAACGCACGTCAGCGTCCTGACGGGCGCGCGCGTGACACTCGACTGATATAATACCCGCCGGCGGGGCGCTTCGCTGTAGGTAATTATCGGATGTACCGCGCGGAGTGAGCCAGGCCTGGTAGAATCCCGTCCAATGACCCCAAGCTACCCATCCCTATCGCTCGCGCGTAATTGTGTTGCTGTCGCGCGCGGCGGCGGCGGCGTGCACCAGCGCGACGGACCGCGTGGCGCACACGCTGCTCACCGCGCTGGCGCACCAGCCGCACCACGGGAAGGAGCACGCGCACAAGTCAGCACCACTGTCGGACCTATTTATTTATTTAAAGGCACGGGGTCTCTATCAGAAGGAACTCTAGGGGTGGAATCTCCATTGGCGTGGGTTAGCGGGCAAGGAGATAATATGTTGGACGGTTGACAATCACTTTCCCTACAATTTAACGTTCCACCAAACTCAATACGCTTTCAAAGATAACCTCGTAGCCGCTTGCTCACACTTGACATGACAAAACTGATTGACAGTTACCTTTTTCTGCGCATCAGTCGGGTGTTACGTTTAGGAATCACAAACCTTCCGCTCTACAGATTTATACAGATAACATAATAAAATTGGTACTGTTAATCATCAATAATAATTTGCAGCATCTGTGTCCGGCGCCGACATATTTATTTGTAATAGGTATACAAACAGTTTACAATTGATAGAATTATGCCCGTTTTCACCATCAATCCCCGATTTTTAAGTGACCCCTATGGTAACACATTATGAATTTTGTTTTCATAGGGGTCACTTAAAAATTAGGGATTGATAGTGAAAAAGTTTTCTTTAAGTAAAATTTTCTATCTACAGTATTAAGAATACTTTCCCTCCAGGTGGCATTACAAAATTCCACCCTGTATAGTAGGATTTTACAGAAATTGTAGCTCGGTCCGCCCGCTACAGCGCGAGCGAAAATTCCTCGCGTGAGTTCTAACTTAAATGTCCGTGATTTTGATAGATTATCCCGCATGGAGGCGTCCGTTCGCGCGGTGTGGGCCCGCATATGGGGCGCCGGCGCGCGCGCGCTGCCGCTGGCCGCCGCCCTGCTGCGCGGAGCGCCCGCCCGCCACCACCACCATCTGCTGGCCGCGCTCGAGGTGCTGCCCGACCACGACCTGTTCGAGAGGCGAGTACACAGTGCGCACTAGAAGTGGCCTCGGGCCGAGCGACAAAAGGTGGCTCTGTCAGCGGCGACGAAATCGTGGTTGAGGCAGCGCGTCTCCATTTTAGCAGCCGTGTGTCGAGCAACAAGCTGCCTAAGTGGAGATTTGGCTTACGACACCTGGAAAGAAAGAAGATCATGTGGTGAAGAAAGCGTACTTGGGAAACCAAGTAACCGTCACTCGTTCCAGGTAGCGCTGAGGAGATGAAGTTGCGACTTCACGTCGATAACGGGCGAGAAGTGGCGCAAAACAAAAACTAAAATTGTACTTTACTCAAATAAAGTCTTGTATGTTTCCACAGTGAGGAGATCCACGGCATCCTGGACTGCTTCCTGAACATGACGAAGCAGCAGAGCGGCCGAGACTCTGCGCTAGCGCACCGCGTGTGCGCGCTCGTCCGCCGCTACACCGCGCGCCGCCCGCACCGCGCCGCCGCGCTGCTGGCCGCGCACCGCGAGACCGTCGCGTGAGTGGCTCCCTCTAGACACAGGACGGCTCCCTGAACACGAAGCAGCAGAGCGGCCGAGACTCTGCGCTAGCGCACCGCGTGTGCGCGCTCGTCCGCCGCTACACCGCGCGCCGCCCGCACCGCGCCGCCGCGCTGCTGGCCACGCACCGCGAGACCGTCGCGTGAGTGGCTCCCTCTAGACACAGGACGGCTCCCTGAACACGAAGCAGCAGAGCGGCCGAGACTCTGCGCTAGCGCACCGCGTGTGCGCGCTCGTCCGCCGCTACACAGCCATCAGCTCTACGACCCGGGTGCTTTTCGCAACAACCCACCTGTCAGTCGTCAGTTTACCTCCCACTCCCACAATACTGTTGAACTATGTCTATTTAATGTGCGTATGTGTTTACAGGAGCACGCCAGCATTGAGCGCGCTGAGCGGCGGCGACGTGTCGGCGCCCGCGTCGGCCGCGCCGCCGCCGCACGCGCTGCTCCAACTGCAACGCCGCAGCGAGCCGCCCGCGCAACTACATTGGTCGCTGCAGGTGAGTCGCTCCGGCTCCCTCGTGACTGGGCACGCCGGCCCTGACGCGCTGAGCGGCGGTCTCGTTGCTCCATATACGAAAGATCATAGCTGCAACTAAAGCCTGGTCCGTGAGCACGTAGAATTTTGTCCAATGAGTATGACTTATCGCTCGCGCGAAATTATATTGCTGTCGCGACTGTGCGACGGGTGCCCACAGTGAGTGTGCGAGCGCGACAGCAATATAATTACGCGCGAGCGATAAGGATGGGTAGCTTGGGGTCATTGGACAAAATTCTACATGCTCATGGACCAGGCTTTAGCTGCTGCAGGTAAGTCTTCTCGAAACCAGCGATTTGGAAAGTCACCAGAGATCTGTGGCTGGTGAATTGTCAAGCGGTATTTATATTCGATTACGTATAAGTAGTTTCGTGTAAGTGCCCCATCAATCCCTAATTTTTAAGTGACCCTTATGGTAACACTTATCAGAAATATTGTTTTCACTTAAAAATTAGGGATCAATGGTGAAAACGGGCTTAGGACTTAATTTTCAAGTTCTAAATTAATGTTTTGATGCTTTCAATTTTTTGTCAAAATGTCTTGGAGTGACACATCTGTCCTGNAATGGTTCAGCCGTATGGGTTGGTGGCTTTGGTGGGTGCACTAACCTCGTGGCCCTGCGCTCCAGCAGCGCGTCGATGCGCGCGAGGTGCGCCCGCAGCGCCGCCGACTTCTGCTCGTCCTTGCGCACTAGCACCAGCTTCAGCTTGGAGTACAGGTTCTCGATCAGCGACGCCACTTCCTTGTCCTGGGGAAGAAAGATTAAAGATTAAGACTATGATATCCAGCCATCCAGGTGAAGCGACGATCCCGTGAAGGTCGCGGGAAGAACCTGGATGTGGACAGCGCAAGACCGGTCGTTGTGGAAATCCTTGGGCGAAACCTTTGTCCAGCAGTGGACGTCATTTGGCTGAAACATTATCTAGCCAATCATATTTTAGAACAACGAGGAAGCCCTTGGCGTGCATCTTATCTGCATAATACAGAGTTAAGAACCGATTAACCAATTTGCTATGTCACTTCTGTAAAATACGTGATGAAAGGATAAAAAAAATCTTCGGTTAAAAGTACTGTTGTGTCTTCTTTCGAGGACATGACATTACACCAACAGTCTGACAAGAACGTAATCATATACGTGAGAGAAAACTTATGATCGATGTGTTACGGGACAAACTTGACCTTCACTGGTTGGGTTTTTATTGGCGGTCAAGCTGTAGATCCTGGCTACACAGGAGTTGCAGCGGTGGTAACGAGAGGTGGGAACTTAACTTCTAAGCATGGACTTCGTCTACTACAAATCTTACCTGTACGAAAAGATTGTGTCCTCCAGGAACCGACTTCATGATGTGCCGCTCGATCTTCTCATTCTCGAGTATCGCGAGCCCGTTGTCGATCAGGATCGGCGGATGCGTGGCCTCGAAGTTGGTGCGGAAGTCTGGAGGCGGCTTCTGCATGTCTACTGTCGTCACCTGCAACGAGATGGAAAATGGTTGAGAATTGAGAGCTTTGGTCATCATTTCAGCCATAGGACAACCACTGAGGAACATCACCTATGATTTCAGATCCCAGTAGCGGCCTGGGAGCTTCGTAATAATGTACAAAATTTTATTGTCTTGTTGCACACTACATCTGAAGGAAGCAATGATTCCCGAATAGTCCGAAAGAATTTTGATCTTTGCCTTTTTCCGACTAACGGGCTTGATACGAATAATGTTACTTATAGCATACTTTTTGCATATTCTGGTTTAAAGAAGAATGGTCCAATATATAACAATCATGCACCAATTGGGTAATTAAAGCCAAGAAAGAACGTGAATAATGCACGATAAAAACTAGTGCATAGATATGTATCTAGTATCGAGTTATTTAGTATACAATTTGATTTTACGCAAAACATTACGCGATGTAGATTGCAGTTAGATACAATGAAAGGCCAACAAACTGGTTTATTGGAGAGTTTATTTTTAATTAGACCACAATTGCCAACATAAATACCGGTGCACATTTTCGTAGCAATTTCAAGAAAGAATTTGTTAGTTTTGCAAAAAGTTACAAGAAGATTTCGCTAATTCGAGACACGCATATCATCAGTAGGCTAAAGAAATCCTATCTTTAACATTTTGGGTGTATAGTAGTGTTCTTGTTTACTTTAATATAGTGTCCGACCGAATGTTCGGTTTCGGTTTCGTTTTCGGTTGAGTTTCGGTAAAAACACGAGTTTCGGTTTAGTTTCGTTTTCGGCGGCAAACTTGCCGAAACTACGACCGAAACCGAATGTGCATTCGGGAGTTTCCGCGCTGTTATCGGTCATGTTCGGCACGTTGAATGAGTGGATGAATCCGATAAGAGCCCATGTGATTCGCTCGCTTGTTTGTTTGCTGTTAGTTTTGTTTTGTTGTGGTGGCGAGTTTTCGAGTGATTTATTTTGAATTTGGTAAGTTTTATCTCGTTTTATCACAGAATAATAATAAGTACTAGGTACGTACAGAAGTTTTACTTCGCGAAGGTATTTAAAAAAATGTATGCTCAATGTCATTAACATTATGGTGTAATTTAGCCTGTCTCAAGAGTCAAGCACCATTTTGTTGACAAACGTCAGTGATCGGCACTGCGCCGAAGCTATAGGGCTGACTTCGGTAAAATGATGTGACGTGAGGTGCCAAACTGCGGAAAATAACCGAGGAAATACATGATTTAGCATGAATTATCATGAATAATATTAACTACTTATTTACCTCTCAGTGTCTTGAGGCAGTTAAATACTGCACAGTATTTAGTACACCATTTTCTTTATTTTCTTCCATCATACACAAGAATACGCGTGCGTGAGTCAATGTTCGCTCGTATGATGTGAGGCCTTGTCAAATTGTATCCTGTAGGTGGGCCATCGTGCGTGTTTTGTTTTCGATGTAAACTCGCGGAGATGAACAGGCCTGGTTTTATGTCGTCATACCATAAAAAATGGTAGTCAATATGACTGATAAAAGTATAATCAAGTTATACCTATAAACCTATAAAAATTTTTTTGGTTCGCAAATGCTATTCGTAAACAAACATTAGTTAAGTAGTTAATAATGACTATAGTGCATTTCATGGTGATAATATTATGCATTCAGAGTTTCAAAGTTCATTTTAGTATTTATCACCAAGGTATCCAAGTGGCAAGTACATTAGATACTAACTTACGTACTACCAATTTTGTTTTGAGAATTTATTAAGGTAAAAGACCCGACCATGGGACGGGTTATGTAGATGTCCTGAATATTACGAGTAATTAAAAGAAAATCTAGACTATAAATCCTTCTTTTTCTTTTTTAATACATAATTTGATACATAATTATATAGTAAAAAGGCCCTTTATAAGTTCAATTTCAATGCAATTTAAAGAGAAAATAATAAAGACTGACTGATTATAACGTTTTCTTTATTTTTCCCTCAAAATATGAGCCTTGTAAGGAAGTTTCGGTTTCGGTTTCGGTTTCGGCCGAAATAGACACCGTTGCCGAAATTCGTTTTCGGTTTCGGTTTCGGTCGTAAAACTAGTTTCGGTCGGACACTACTTTAATACCCTCAGGGTCTTGGCAACCAACTACTCAGTAGTCCTTTATTAGTTAGTCACTCGTTCTACAGTCGCCATTACTTGTCCCNATATGAAAGATCTATCTGCCTAAACTCTGTGTTATTTGCTCATAGGAGATCGAAGCGTGGGGCAACCGCAGGGGCGGTGCTTGGGGCGGGCCGGCGCACGCGGCCGCCATCTTGCGCGCCGCCGCGCCGCTGTGCGCGTCCTCGCACGGGCCACTACGAGCCGCCGCGCTCTCACTGCTGCCTAAACTGCTGCCTGCCGTCGCTGATACGCGCCCGGGTAAGTCCAGTGTGCTGTATGCTTAGTGCGAGTATGAAACGTAGTCGTATCGTAAGCGTGGGATAACCACCGACACGCGCCCNTATTTTCGAAATTCGGTATCCCGGTTTGCGACCCCTACTTGTCCCAGACTTTTCCCATCTTCCTTTGTAATTTGGTCATGCATGGGGACAACCATAACTGGTCTAAATCTAGTCGCTTTATTGACTATTTCATTTGGTATTTTGAGAAGTGATTTATTATTACTTATATCTCCCTAGTTCAAACGTGTCCCTGTTATTACCAAAGACAAAACAACTCGTGCATAAAGTCTGGGGCAGAATAAGCTACATTATTTTCAACGGTGTCTAGGGCAGTAATAGCCTATTATTATGGCCTACGACTGACTCATTTCAGCAACCATCAGTCCGCTGGGCCGTTATCCGGCCCCTGACATTCGCCTCGTCGAGATCACGTCGGATTTCGATCGTGACAACTCACAGCCTTTCTCTTGTTTGAATTTAACTAGTTTTAGGACCACAGAAAAAATTGGGTCTCCATTAAATAATCAAGAGAGGTTGCATCTTCTGCACACAAAATGTCTATTCACGAGCACGACCCTGGTTACTTGACTCAAAATGAAGGACATGCTAGGGTAAGTTTAAACACACTGTTTAGTTTTTCTAAAAAAGAGATCTGGCGCCAAAAACATCACCACCAATAACATGAATTTGTATGATGGTGAATTGGTGAGTAAGCTGTAACATCCTTGTACAATGTTGGTTATGGTTTAAGGGGAACCTTTATCGCAAGGAAGGAAGCGGTTACACCATCAGTGTAGAGATTAGATACCGCTATATCGACCGCGAATCCATGGGAAAATTACATTCTGAAATTACGACATTTTTTTTTACAAGAAGTTTTATATCGATGCTAATTTCATTTTAAAAGAATTATCCAGCAACAGAACTAACAAAATTATTCAAATATGAAATAGTGTACTAGTAAGAAATCTAACCTTAAAATTCAAAATTAGCTACTGATTACACTGGGTGGTCTACAAGTACAACTTAAAAACTTATCTTTTGCATTTGCGTAAGTAGCGTACAGTGAAATCATTTAGATAAAGCTAATCTCAGGTAAACGGTACGAAGCCATGAAGTTAGATTAAAGATAGTCTTAAATGTTTGCTTATTAATTCAATTTGTTAAAACCTGCAGCATAAATGTAACAATTTTTAAATTTTTGCCAGTTGCTAAGGCTCAGTTTATGAATCGAGATTTCCAGCTTGAACTTGCTATTCTTCTACTCAAGGACGATGAACAGTAACACGCTCAAGCAAATCACCTCAACTCAGAAACCGAGCCTTATTATGAAGTGATGATGATGATGCTATACAGGAAAAAGATACAATTACGTCTGACTTAATAAAAACATCAATAGCTGACCTTTAAACTGATGGTCTTGAGTTCCGCTAACAGGTACAGGTCCATGAAGTACTCTTGGCAAAACAAACACGCGCCTTTCCGTCGCCCGTCAATCGTCGATGCCTGAAAACAGAACACACATTTATATGAGCATATTATTGTTGTTAAAAAGGAAATATAAAGGAAAGGTAGTGGTCCACGGTGGCCAAGCACTTAGAGCTTGCCCAAACAAATGTTTCGACAACCCAGTCCCTGGCGCCGACTACAAATAATGGCAAAGAAGATGTTGTTCAGAAGACAATTCCTGAATCCTGATATAACAGAGAACGAGAGTCAAAAGGCATTCAAGAACAATATTAAAGCCATAATTGATGATCACAATGAAACTCATGTTATGTTAGAAATAAAAAATATGCATAAGAGTTTGGGAGTTGGGCAAAGTAAAGAAAAAAAAAACGACACATCATAAAGATGGAATATTATATGGATGCATTGACAGCTGAAAAACACTGCAGACCCACGATACCCCTGGCGATACCCCTGGTGGTATCGTGGGTCTCGTTAAAGAACTACACTTCAGACCCACGATACCCCTGGGAGAAAAGTTGACAAACGAGGACCGGCGCGGGCGCGGGCGGGCGGGGAGGCGGGACGCACAGTGCACACGGCTAGTGCACAGTGTTGTGGAATACCTCTATGAATTCTAAATTGATTTCATTGAACATGCAATAAAATGTATATCGTTAAAAATAAAATAACAGCAATTCATATCTACATACTCGTATAATGATTACGTAGTATCAGGTAAAGTACCAGGGCAACATAACCATAAAGGCACGGTAATAATATCATACAGTATTGTAACTTCATATAAACAGACGAAACGAGAACTTTCTTTCGAAATTCAAATCTCGGTATGCGCTCGGTATGCAAAAGTCGGGGGTGTCGCGAATCTGCCGAATGGACGTCGGTGGCCAAGTGTTAAAAATGACAAAACTAATTGAATTTGACTGACCGTCATTTACGGTCAAATTGGTCAAAAACTAGTCAAATTTACATTTTCAGTCAGTTTGATTTGAAATGAAAATTATATTGTATCAAACCAGCTTTTGCCCACGACTTCGCCCGCCCGAAATTAAAGTAACAGATCATTAAGATTATTAAAGTTTCGAAATTATTTAAGTAGTTTTTACTAAATTAAATCTACTAATCACAAAACGACACACATTTTTAACCTATTCCATTCATAAAGTATTTTGTTTGTCTAACTAAATAAAAAAATACAATCACAAAACTAGATAGAAATTCTAAGTAGGCAGATGTAATTAAACTGGGCACTGTAGGTGGGCAGCCCTACCGCATGTTGTCATGCTGTGACGTACCGCGCGACTGTTGACATTTATTTCAAAAACTAGCTGACCCGGCGAACTTCGTACCGCCTTAGCGTAGAGATTTTCTTAATATTTCTTTCCGTAAGAACCATCCTTGGACTTCCACAAACATTTAAAAAAAAGAATTATCGAAATCGGTTCAGCCGTTCACACGTGATGCCGTGACAACGCGAAACGGGTTTCATTTTTATATATATAGATATGGCTGAGTTGGAATACTGTATAGATAGTATTACCGTGATAAAGGAGCCTATTTTGTGATACATATTTATTTCTCGGGTCAACCAAGAAGAATTTGATAATAGCTCCCATAAGGTTATGGTACCTTTTATTTACCGTAGTAAATTCCTTTATCCCCACTGCTCAACTAGACTGCTCAACTGCGCAACTGTTCAACTGGTTATATTTCCCATACAAACTGCTCTACAGGAGAAGTTTTGTAATGTTAAAAAAAACTTTATTTTCACTTCATAAAATTAAAATATAGCGTAAAATTAATATTGTGTGAATAAATATAAATTATTGATATCTCTTTTTTTTTCCCAAGGGCAAACTACTCATTTAAATCATTGTCACACACAACGTGGTAGATGAAATTATCTTTTTATTACATCAAATAACATAGATTAAGTATCAGAACAAAAATAAATAATTAAAGTCAAAAATTTATTTTATAAGTGCTATTAATTAATTTTATTCGTAGTATTAGGTATGAATTGTTGTTATTTTATTTTTATTTTTAACGATATACATTTTATTGCATGTTCAATGAAATCAATTTAGAATTCATAGAGGTATTCCACAACACTGTGCACTAGCCGTGTGCACTGTGCGTCCCGCCTCCCCGCCCGCCTGCGCCCGCGCCGGTCCTCGTTTGTCAACTTTTCTCCCAGGGGTATCGTGGGTCTGAAGTGTAGTTCTTTAACGAGACCCACGATACCACCAGGGGTATCGCCAGGGGTATCGTGGGTCTGCAGTGCTGAAAAATATGCAAGCCAAAACGAAAAAATGTTAATTAATTTTTGTTTTTGTTCAAATGCAATTAGTTTCAAAGACTCCGTTTTAGAATTCCATTTAGTTTTACGAGATTGAACATTTACTCGGTGTCTGCTCTTTTTAATTCACATTATATGATGTTGGTCCAGTACGTTTAATTATACTTGTTAATTAGCCTCGTCTAAGTTTCCGCACGTTGAGAAACTTGGAATTAGAGTAATGTAATATTTGACCTGCATTACGTAGAGCCACGTGTTACCTTACCGCCTCATAATTATATGATCAAACGAACTTACCAAGTGAAGTTCGATCTCAATTATCCTGTTTTCGCCGAAGAGATTTATTTTACCGTGTAGTACCCCTGTACGACAAGCCAATCCGCACACAATATTCAGCGTAGTAGAAGTNCGGAGGCGAAAGCAGGATAATGATCATAACAGCTTGTTAATTAGAAATGAGGAAATTCCTATATGGTCATGATGATGATGAATGATGCGATCTGAGATCTTCGTAACGTGTGGTTCATGCATGTGTGACTGCTTTTTCGATGCGAGAACAGCCTGTAAAATTGGGATATTGGGACATCTAATCAATATCCAAAACGAATGTGCTTATTGATTCGCTGTATTTACCATACTAGCGGCATGATTGGTTTTAACCTCTGCAGTAATATTACTAAAGTGACAACGAGCCGATCAGTTACTAAGCGAAACCTTTTGAATATTCATTAGGCCATTCTTATAGTCGGGCGTGAATCCGTAGCCAATTGTTAGACTTAGAACAACTCTCGTTTTCAACAAGGACAACTGACACAACTGCTCATTATTATTGTTGTCCTCCTTACGTGCCGTAAGCGTCGCTACAATCGAAAGATTATTTATGAGGTATTCTCTACCACATTTAACTTACACTTTTAATTGTGAGATAGTTAGAAATCATTAGTTGCACGTCGCTGTGTAATTACTTCAGAGTTTGTAAATTGCAATGATGTCGATTAACATTTTTCCAAACATGAAATGGAACGAAATTATTACAACGAAAACAACAAATGTTTGATCTCTCCACGAGACTGATGATTATAGGGTAAGATAATACTGAATAATTTAGTCGGTGTAAAAAGATAAAACCACGTATTTCACTCACATTATGAACAAGTTTTACTGAAAGAAAAGACTTCGGGAAATCTTATAAAAACTTTGAATGTAGAGTCCAATTCTTTGAGAATTTGCAATGCACTGACAAGAAAACACCCTGCAATAGAAGGATACCATGACTTTCACCTACTCCATGGTACACAGAAAGTAGGCAAGCCATAACATGTTGCTAAACATGCTTACATACGCTCTACATTATGCGTAGGCGCATTATGAAAGCTTTGTCAAGTCCGCGCGTGACTCAGCGGGAACAATGTGCTGTTCTAGGTCAAAGGGCTTTCTGTGTTGCAACTCTTGCAACACTGATCGAACTACTGACGCATAATTTCTACGCTTAAAAGTGTTGGAAAACAAAGCCTATGAATTTTACTTCTAGTTGCCTAAAAAAATTTTTTTAGTCCGTAATGTTTAATATCAAAAAATATTGGACACATATATTTTTATTTGTCAATCTAACAAATAATTACATAGTTATGGTGCGTTGAAGTTGCGCAAGACGTCACAACGTGCGGCATTTTTAAGCAAGCGTTGACGTCACGGGCCTCTTCTTATGAACTTTGGGGCGCTTTATCTCTTTAAATTTTCATTAGTTTGAAAAAGTGAAAAATACGTGTAGTGTATTTTTTGATAAGTTAACTGACGGACTAATTAAAACTCTTGCTTTTTGACCCAGGCAACATCCCCATTAGTCAAGTTTACATAATTCGATTAAGACCCAAAAATTAGTATGTTAGTATACTAGTTGACTACTTCTTGACAGTTGGATATTAATTTATTCCAAAATTAGGACATAGAAAACATAACCAATGCAGTTTATACAAATCGTGAAATTCTTAAGATACGATAACAATCTTAATTGGTTACTTATGCTCATTTATAATTTGATTTATGAGTGATTTAAATTCATTATGTCGATGATGTTAACATAACTGTTTTTTATTTACTAATTTTTTCCTGTTTTTACTAAACAGTTCGTCTTATTGCTTGCACATTATTTAGATTGAGCGATAACTGTGTCGGTTCGGTTGTTATTGTCGGTTTGATGGACAAACGGGGCTTTCATATTCCATCACCACAATTTCTTGGCAACTCAGAGAAATGTATTGCAATATAAATTATATGGTTCAGATGTTCTCATATCATTTTCTAATCGGACCATCCTCGTTACGGTCAAGCGACCGCCTCTCGTAATTATATGAAAATGTGTCCATTTAACCGATATTTTCTAAGCTATATTGCTTGAAGAAACTGTTTGGAGTGGTGCGGCGAGTTGTCACAATGCAGCGCTAAATGAAATGGTGAATAATGTTGATGTTGTTTTCATTTGCATGCGTCTGCGCACCGCGGAATGCTGGGTGGAT